AGGACACCTACACAAACAAGAGTGCGCACACACACACACACACACTCGGCGTAATTGCGGCTGTTGCCATAGCATGCAGTGCCCAGCAGTGAGTGGGAGAGCACTAATTATAGCAGATGTGAGAACGAGCGGCCGAGAGCAGCAGAGTGAGTGTGGAGAGTCAGGAGGGCGACACATGCAATATGTCTTCACACAGAGCACAGAGGGGGTCAGAGCGGCCGGATAACACCACAATCACACACAGGTAATGCATATCAAAACAGAGGCAAAATAATATTTAACACCAGTATGAATTCTGAAATCAAAGCTGTATTAATTTTTCCCCTCTGTTTTGATATGCATCACGTGTGTATGATGGCTGTAGCTTGTGTTTTAGGCACTCCAGGGCCTTTCACACTGAGCGTGGTTTAGTGATGTGAATGTACAACGCAATGACATTCTTGCATAAAAACTATAGATCCCTATGGAGCCATTCACACCGGGAGCAATCAATCGCCGTGCAACAAAGCGAGATTTTTTTTTTTTTCCACCCGCATGTCAAATATGGTCCCACTATATATTAAATGGCCTTAACTACTATGTACTTACATTTAAATTAATCATTTGGTACAATGCACATTGTACTTGTATTTAAAAAAATGCATGCATATAATTGCATCTGTAATTAATTTCTGTAATTACATTTATAATTACACTGTTGACCCATCCTTTACATCTTAACCCACTCTTAAACCTACCCATACCACCAAACCTGTCCCCAACCTTACCTGCATCCCACCTCAATAGCAGTAGTAGTGCTTTGCAATACAAAATGAACACAATAAGTACATTGTACTTATTTTTTAAATGTAAGTACGTAGTAGTTAAGGCCACTTAATATAAAGTGGGACTGATTTAAACTTTAGATCACTTTGCTGTTGCACAAAAGAGCGAGATTGGTGGCACTATAGCACAGAAATCAGTTTTCAAAACCAGTGTAAACATAGGTGAAAGGTCAAAGGTATTATATAATGTTATTAAATTAGAAACACCATTCAAACATAATTTAGAAAATTTGAAATTATTTGAGAAATTATTCCATTAAACTAAACATGAAATTGCTGAAATAGAAAGACTGAAATAGTATTTTCTTTAAAACTTTGAAAAATCACTTCTGTTCAGTGTAGGATAATAATGATTACCAGGCAATGCCACAAATAGTTTCTAAAATGTACATTTATGACCCCACAATGAATATGGCCAACAGGATATGATGTCACAGTGCTTATTTTTTGAATAATTAATACGTAACTTTCCCTACAAACCATCAGTGTGTGTTTTTAAAAGGTTTGTCTCCATAATCGCTTATTGAAATGTAAATAGATAAAAACGTTTGTCAAGAGAAACTTTAGGTTGGCTTGAGAAAGCCTAGCCTGAAAGTTTAAAGTAGTTGTAAAAGCCTGAAGTTTGAAAATGTAGATAGATTAGATACAGTAGATGCTGATAACATGTTTCTAGCATGTTTAGCATGTTTTAACATGATTAGCATATTGCTAGCATGATTAGCAAGTAACTAGCATGTTGTTAGCATGATTAACAAGTAACTTGCATGTCGCTAGCATGATTAGCAAGTTACTAGCATGTTGCTAGCATGATTAGCAAGTAACTAGCATGTTACTAGCAGGAATAGCAAGTGACTAGCATGTCGTTAGCATGGTTAGCAAATGTTACTAGCATGTCACTAGCATGTTTCTAGCATGATTAGCATGTTACTAGCATGATTAGCAAGTAACTAGCATGTTGGTAGCATGATTAACAAGTTACTAGCATGTCACTTGCATGTTTCTAGCATGATTAGCCTGTTACTAGCATGTTGCTAGCATGTTGTTAACATGATTAGCAAATTACTAGCATGCTTAGCATGTTATTAGCATGTTGCTAGCATGATTAGCATGCTACTAGCATGTTGCTAGCATAATAAGCAAGTTACTAGCATGTCGGTAGCATGTTGCTAACATTATTAACAAGTTACTAGCATGTCACTAGCATGTTTCTAGCATGTTGTTAACATGTTGTTACGATGATTAGCAAGTTACTAGCATGATTAACATGCTATTAGCATGTTTTGCTATCATGATTAGCATGCTACTAGCATGTTGCTAGCATGATTAACAAGTTACTAGCATGTTGGTAGCATGTTTCTAGCATTATTAGCATTTTACTAGCATGATGCTAGCATGATTATCATGCTACTAGCATGTTGCCAACATGATTAGCAAGTGACTAGCATGTTTCTAGCATAATTAGCAAGTTACTAGCATGTCGGTAGCCTGTTTCTAGCATGATTAGCATGTTGCTAGCATGCTACTAGCATGTTGTTAATATAGGTGTGTTCACGCCATAACAGAATGCCCATAATTACGAGATTCCAACTTGTAAAAAGCGTCCACGTGACCGCTGTACCACCTGACCAACGCAGGCTCTGTCTCGAAATTACGGTAATTACGATATGGCGTGAACGCAGCATATGTTTCTAACATGATTAGCATGTCGCTAGGACAGACAGACAGACAGACAGACAGACAGATAGATAGATAGATAGATAGATAGATAGATGCTGATAACATGTTTCCAGCATGTTTAACATGTTTTAACATGATTGGCCTGTTACTAGCATATTGCTGGCATGATTAGCAAGTAACTAGCATGTTGTTAACATTATTAACAAGTAACTTGCATGTCGCTAGCATGATTAGCAAGTTACTAGCATGTTGCTAGCATGATTAACAAGTAACTAGTATGTTGTTAGCATGATTACCAAGTAACTAGCATGTTGCTAGCAGGACTAGCAAGTGACTAGCATGTCGTTAGCATGGTTAGCAAATGTTACTAGTATGTCACTAGCATGTTTCTAGCATGATTAGCATGTTATTAGCATGATTAGCAAGTAACTAGCATGTTGCTAGCATGTTTAACAAGTTTCTAGCATGTCACTTGCTTGTTTCTAGCATGATTAGCCTGTTACTAGCATGTTGCTAGCATGTTGTTACCATGATTAGCAAGTTACTAGCATGATTAGCATTTTATTAGCATGTTGCTAGCATGATTAGCATGCTACTATCATGTTGCTAGCATTATTAGCAAGTTACTAGCATGTCGGTAGCATGTTGTTAGCATTATTAACAAGTTACTAGCATGTCACTAGCATGTTTCTAGCATGATTAGCCTGTTACTAGCATGTTGTTGTAAAAAGCGTCCACGTGACCGCTGTACCACCTGACCACCGCAGGCTCTGTCTCGAAATTACGGTAATTACGATATGGCGTGAACGCAGCATATGTTTCTAACATGATTAGCATGTCGCTAGGGCAGACAGACAGACAGACAGATAGATAGATAGATATATATAGATAGATAGACAGACAGACAGACAGACAGATAGACAGATAGATAGATAGTGTCACAAATCCGGTCTATGAACTTCAATTCACCAGAGGTCACCCTTCCATTACATTGACTCTCGCACTACACAAACTGTTGCATGTCATCCCGGACTACATATCCCATCATCCATTGCACTGATTGCACACAGCTGTAACCAGTCACACATTCACTATATAACACTCACTCAGATCCCTTTCAAACTGCTGAATATTGTATGTGCATATCGCTAGTTGTGATAGCTACGTTACGGAGCCAACTTGAAGTTTCATAGTCTTAGTTACTAGCATGTCACTAGCATGTTTCTAGCATGATTAGCCTGTTACTAGCATGTTGTTACCATGATTAGCCAGTTACTAGCATGATTAGCATGCTATTAGCATGTTGCTAGCATGATTAGCAAGTTACTAGCATGTCGGTAGCATGTTTCTAGCATTATTAGCATGTTACTAGCATGATGCTAGCATGATTATCATGCTACTAGCATGTTGCCAGCATGATTAGCAAGTGACTAGCATGTTTCTAGCATAATTAGCAAGTTACTAGCATGATGCTAGCATGATTATCATGCTACTAGCATGTTGCCAACATGATTAGCAAGTGATTAGCATGTTTCTAGCATAATTAGCAAGTTACTAGCATGTCTGTAGCCTGTTTCTAGCATGATTAGCATGTTGCTAGCATGCCACATGGATCCGCACGTCTCACGTCTCGTCAGCCCCGTAACAGATAGATAGATAGATAGATAGAAATATTAGATATTAAGTCGGATCAGTTAGAAAAGATATAGCAACTAACTTCAGATCAGTCTGAAGAGCTGGGCTGAGTTTGGAGTTCGTAGAGTTAAAGCTGTAGGAGGAGTTAGAGTCAACGTTTTTAGTAAGAACAATACTAATAAGTTTAAATAGCATTTCAGTAAGTTGGCCTTTTCAAGCCAACTTAATAATAAGAAGCTTAAATAGCAGATCACTAATTACTTGCTCTGACTTTGTGACCTTGCAATGGTTTTTCTTTTCAGTTGACGTCACAAGTACCTTTCATTTTTCAACCATTTGACTTCATTCTGGTAAAAATATGCACTGCTCACAATCCAGTCAATTGACTCTATGAACACCGACTGCATTTGTGCTTCTGCTAAAAATCTCAAAAAACTCTTCCTGTCATGTAACTGTTGGTCAAAAAATATAATACATTGTATACTTCATTAGCCACAGTAAACTTAACATTTTAGCGTATTATATTTAAACCATAAACTTTTAGTAGTTCCAGAAGCTTTAAATACCTTTAATGTGAAAGTGGATCATATCGCTTTGTCCTGTTGTGTATAACTTCCTCAAGATTTAATTTTGTGCTTAATATTCTTACAATTTCTATACACTGCGCTGCACTGGAAGTTAAGCGAATGCAAAAGTGAGTCAATTTCTGATGGATCTAACGATCCATTAAGTCACACTCCACATTTGTCTCCAACATCCTGTTCATACAGAAATATTACTGTCGGACTGCTGCAGTGAAATGGTTGCAGCAGCGTTTCTGTACAGTTGCAGTGGTTGTTTTTCTGAAGTGTTTTCTGTACTCACTGTATCTCCTGCACGGATCCAGCCACACAGTGGAATCGTTCCGGGACGGTCTTCCACTCCCGGGCCAGTTTGACCATTCCTCCGGCATCCAGCACGCCGTATCCGAACAGATGGTTGAACTCCAGGCCCACACCGTTCCTCCTCCACTGGTGCACCTCGTCATGCAGCTTGTTCCTCTTAGAGGTGAGGACCGTCAGGTGCTGCAGGTCCCTCCATGTCAGGTTCGGACTGCAGACAAACACAATGAAGGAAATAAAGTCAAGCCCAGGAAAGAAAATCACTAGCATGACTGCTGTTTGTCATAAACTTGAATCATTCAAGCCTCCTTCAAGCTCCCAATTCTAATAGTTATCATATCCATTCAATATAAAATGTGCTTTATTGAGTGAATGACTTCCTGCAAAGAGCACATAGCAATGCAAGAACAAAACCCTTACAGTTGCATATGGTTTCTCAAGAGCAATTTGCACAGAGCGCTAGGGGAAGCGGATGCAGACTACTGGGACCATTGATTCTAGAGATAAGACAGTAAGACTAAACTCATATATGAGGCATGAGGTTTATATTTTATTAATACACAGCTCTCTGGAATACTGGAACCCTTAGCGATTGTAGGAAAATGGCTTGGAGGTCTTCAGTATTGCTTTTATGGTGAACTCTGATACATGGACAGAAGCTCAGAAGTCTCAAGTCAAATCAAGACAACTAAAACGAAGAGTGAGAAAAGCCGGATCAAGCTGCGGAAGCAGCGACAGCTCTTTTCTTTCGTATAGTCTGAGAGTAACAGATGATCAAAAAAGAAAAAAATGCAAGGTGAGGACTTGATTCTGTGCATCGGTTGTTGATTGGATGTTGAGATGTGGGTGTGGCTCTCAAAAACAGAGGCGGAGTTTAAGAGCACTAAATGATTGGAGAAGTTCTGTTTGCGTCATTAAAGAGAAGTCTGTCATTTCACTGGAAGATCCAGCTATGACATTTTGATATTAAAAACATGAACCATGCACCGATGGACTTAATGTAACTTAATGTTGTGTTATTGTTGCAGTTTTCATCTAGTTGTTGGGTTAAGTGATTTCTGTGTGGTAATGGATTATTTTGTTGGTATGTAACTGTGTACTTACAGTGTACTTTAAACTCCCAGCCATATCAGGACTGGACTGGTAATCTGGCAATCATGCAGGGACAGCTGCCCATTGGGTTGCATTGTATTGCTTCAACCCTGGAAATATTGGGAAGTATTGCAAAGTCTATAAACAGGCCAGAGGCAGGACACGAGAATCAACGCGCTAGCAGAGAAAGCACAGCAAGCTCACTGTTCACGATGCTTGAAATATTCAAAGAAAACCCTAAATACTATACTGGGGGTGGGAGTTCATATGAATGTATCTCTGAAGGGAACTGACTGTCGTCAGAAAAGTTTTGATGGCATTTTCTTTTCATCTCACCTCCATATAATGCTTATTAATGTAGTGTTAATAAGCATACCTCTGCTTTGTTTACAGCGATGACCAAGGAAACGCTGTATTGTGACTGTTGCACAAACGCCACCTACTGGCAGAGGATGAATTGGCATTTTTAGCATACTTTGACAATTTTGAAATGATACAATATAATTTAAATAAAAAGTAACTACTCATGCATCTTTGATTGGATTGTGATTAAAATGCAGTGGTGGCCTCTAATTTCAAATGGCTGCAAATCTTGTTCATTTACTCTTTCATTCTTTCTTCTCTTTTGGTTAAAGAAAAAAAACAAAAAACGGCAGTCGGTTCTGATCATAGTGGGCCGCTTGGACCGAAAATGCCAAGGCTGATTTTTTGTTCCAGTCCAGCCCTGAGCCATACTGCACTACACTCCTCTGAGTACTGCTGAAATATACAAACACATGCAAATAAGCTGCCATTTACAATGTGTATTTACATTTGGCTGAACAAAGAGACCTGCTCACTCGCCACCTACATCATTATTTAGTACTGAGCAAACACAAAGACTTTACACAGGGAAGGCCATGTCAACAGTTATTAACACCAGTCCTGACACCGTAACATCCTACTGAAATGTGTGAACGGACGCAGAAATGATGTGGCAAAACGGCCTTTTCCCCACCAGTCGCTCCTTACAAAGCTTTCTCAATCAAGTGTAATGAACACGGTTGCTGTTGAGATCACTGTCTGTTCCTCCACCTCGAGATCATGCTCTTCTGACTGTGTGACTGTCCTTCTTCATTTGTACTTGTAAACTGTTCTTAATCTCAGTCTGTTTGTTGCACATTTAGGGCTTGTATCTAATTTAAGCGCTTTGAGTACCCAGAAAAGCACTATAGAAATGTAAAGAATCATTATTATAATTATTATTATTATTAATTAGGATTTACATATTTTTTTTTTTTTTGCATTTTGCCTTGAGTTAAAAAGTATTTTCTTTTGTTTGATCTTATGGTCACTTTGAGTTGAAACTGGTATTACATTTGGGTGTTTTGATTTGGTAGTGATGCATAACATGTACACTGACTTTTCCATCAACATTTTAGGTTCAAACTTATATGAATTTATAAAACTGATAATATAATGGAGAGTGTGTAGGGAAAGTTCTGTGACTTGCATTTGCTGTCATGCTTGTATTTAAATAACAATAAAAATCAATAAAAGTCAGAGAATTTTGCCAATCAATGCACTACTCCCGGCTTCAGAAAACTGCATCCCTGCATAGGCTTGTTAGGAAACCACATGGCAAGATTATTTACAACAAGGTGCTAATGTTGGTGTGTGTGTTTATGTGGTACATTTTATAATGAAGTAATAATAATAAGAAAACAATACAATATGACCCCTTTAAAAGAAATAGTCATAGCTAGTGATGTCAAAATTAGCGTGTTAATGCAGGCAATTCATTTTTCTAGTTTAACAGCATTAAAATATTTTAACGCAGGGATGGGGCTAGCATTGGCCACCCTACTCACAACTGCTGCTTGTTTTTTTGTTTTTTTTCTTGATAAGAACTGCATTTATTTAGATGCAGAACATCTTTAAGAGCACATCAAACGAGAGACTTTTTGCCTCAGCGACAGTTGCGAGTCAAACCTGCATGAAGTTCAGCAGCGGCAGCTCTTAAAGTAATAGCAGCCAAATAATCTAAAAACCAGCTGCTGTGATGCCTCTTCTTTTTTCAACAAAAGAAAAAAAGAGGAAATCAATAATTTTTGTAAATTGAAGGATTCATCTATATTTAATTTAGAATTTAGTGTTTGATAACTTTATTCCATTTCTGTATATTTCCTACTTGCTGAAGGGCACAGATAAATATGACATTTATTATAATGGGATTATGTGAAGATTGTTATTTTTTTAAAGTCTAATCATTGTTAAAATTGACAGCTCTCAATTATACTGTAATGTTGAATGGCTATAGTCAATGGTTACATATTAGGAAAAATTTCCTAGAAACATCAATAGTATTGATATCAGAGATACTCACCTTCAGTCATAAAAAATATGCCATTAAACAAATATTTAAAACATACTGTCTTTGTGTTGCATCTACATTAATTTGGGGATTGAATGTGAAATTAATTCAATATAAAAATGTATTTAAAAACTTTAATGTTAGGTGGGATTAATCACAATTAATTTCAGAAAAAAAATGTGCGATTAATTCGTTTTTTTTTTTTATCGATTGACGGCACTAGTCATAGCTCTTTGTATATTTATTTCAGTCAGTGTGGATCCCCTTGACATGAAATATCGAGTCTTGAGCTTCCAGTGGTGGACAGGAACGGAGTAGCTTTACTTCGTTACTGTACTTAAGCACATTTTTCAAGTATCTGTACTTTACTGGAGTAGTTTTATTTTGAGTAACTTTTACTTTTACTTCACTACATTCCAAAGCATAAGATCGTACTTTTTACTTCACTACATTTCATAAAACGTATCGTTACTCCTTATAATATATCACGTCTGTTTTTATATTGTTTGTCAGCACACATAGCCTACGTTACTATGTATCTGGATCAACTAGCCGAGTAGACAAATATAAATGTTTATTCATAACCATGCTGAAAATAAGTCAATGTTAACTGATGTTAACTGTCTAGCTAACAAGCTTGCTGGTGCTAAATTGAGGTAATTTAAAAAAAAATATATTCCAAATATTTTTATTCAACCACCTAGATAGATTACATCTGAGGGAAAAAGAAAGGATGTGATGTTCAGAACATGGTAACTACAGTAATTATCAAAGTGGGAAGTGATGCCCTCTGGGGGCATTTGGCCAGGGGTGTTTTTACAGCACAGACAAGGTTTGAGAAGAAAAAAATCATTATGAAAATATTATTATATTTTCCTTATTATATTCATTATTTCCTTATTGGTTATTTTGGGAAAATCCCAGGTATTTTGAGCAGTAGGATTATAAAAAAATATATATGCTAATATAAAAGTAGCCTATGTAAAACTGCAAAATAAACATTCATCTATCGGTACTTTTTACTTAAGTACATAAAAAATCAAGTACTTTTGTACTTTCACTCGAGTAAAATTGAAAACTGAGTACTTTTACTTTTACTGGAGTAATATTTTATAATACGGATCTGTACTTTTACTCAAGTTCATGATTTGTGTACTTCGTCCACCACTGATATT